CATCCGGCTATTTTCTCCCATTTCTCTGAGGATTGCAGTGATCTATCGGCCTCCTGGACCGGTGTCCCGCTTTCTTGAAGATTTCTCTGCCTGGCTACCCTCCTTTCTCTCCTCTGAACTACCACTATAATTCTCGGAGATTTTAACATCCCTAATAATGTCAACAACCCGGCTACATCCCAACTCTTCATCATAACCTCATCTTTTGCATTAGCACAATGTATACAATCCTCCACTCACTCTGATGGGAATACATTAGACCTTGTTTTCTCCCATCTTTGCACTCCCTACAACCTCACAAACACCCCCTTTCCTCTCTCTGATCACAATCTCATCACCTTCACAGTCTCCTCATCTTCAAACACCTATCCCTCCAAGCAGCAAACAATTACCCGCAGAAACCTTCACAACTTGAACCCTGCTCCTTTCCACTCTGCAACTGACCAACTCTACGACATAATCTGTCCCCTCTCCTGCCCTGACCTGGCCACTGCTGTCTATAACAGTTCGCTTTCATCCACATTAGAATCACTTGCTCCTCTAACATCACGAAGTATCAAGCCTCGACCATTACAACCTTGGCAGACTGACGACACCAGAAATCTTAAACGACATAGTAGTGCGCTCGAGCGATTTTGGCGTAAAACCAAATCTCAGCAAGCATTCACCGTATATAAATCTTCTTTCTTAACATACAATTCCTCCCTTCATGCTGCCAAACAAGCCTACTTTGTCACTCTTATTAATACCTTGTCATCCAGTCCTGGTTGTCTCTTCTCTACTTTTAACTCTCTACTTTCTCCACCTCCACCCAGTACCTCACTCACTGCTCACGAGATTGCAAATCATTTCAAAAACAAGATTGACGCAATTCGTAGGGGCATCGCCACTGCACAGATATCCATCCCACTTAGCATAGCTTATACTAAACCTCCCTCAACACTTTCCTCTTTTGACCTCGCTACTACCAAAGAGGTCACTAAGGTTTTCTCAGAAGCCCGTCTCACTACCTGAATCCCTGGATCCTGTCCCCTCACAACTACTACGGTCACCATCTTCTTCCATCCTATGCTCCCTCACTCACATCTTCAATCTTTCCCTCTCTACTGGTGCCTTCCCCTCCCCTCTAAAGCATGCACATATCACTTCCATACTTAAAAAGCCCTCCCTGGACCCCACCAACCTGAACAACTTAAAACCCATCTCACTGCTGCCATTTACCTCTAAACTCCTAGAACGCTTAGTCTACAATCGCCTGAGCTCCCACCTCACTGACAACAACCTTCTTGACCCTTTACAGTCTGGCTTTCGCTCACTACACTCCACTGAAACTGCCCTACTAAAACTCACTAAGGATCTACTAACTGCTAAATCCAATGGCCACTACTCCATACTCTTACTACTTGACCTCTCTGCGGCTTTTGATACGGTTGACCATCCCCTCCTCCTCAAAAAACTCCACTCTCTTGGCCTCAGAGACTCTGCTCTCTCCTGGTTCTCCTCCTACCTATCGCAGCGCTCCTTCAGTGTTACCTATAACGCTGCTGCCTCCTCCTCTTCACTCCCTCTTTCTGTAGGGGTCCCTCAAGGTTCTGTCCTTGGACCTCTTCTCTTCTACATCTACACCTCCTCCCTTGGTCACTTGATAAACTCCCATGGCTTTAAGTACCATCTCTATGCTGATGACACACAAATCTATCTTTCTACCCCTCACCTCACCCTTTCAGTCTCCTCTCGCATTACTAACCTACTAAGTGACATATCAGCATGGATGTCACTCCACTTCCTCAAACTCAATCTTTCCAAAACTGAGCTCTTAGTATTCCCTCCAGCCCGTGCCCCCTCCCCTGACTTCTCCATTAAGATCAATAACACAATCATCAGTCCCTCCCCTCATGCCAGGGTACTGGGTGTAATCCTAGACTCCCATCTGTCCTTTCAGTCCCAAATCCATTCACTGTCCAAATCTTGTAGACTTCACCCTCCACAACATCTCCAAGATACGCCCGTTCCTAACCTCGGAAACCAATAAGCAACCTATTCACTCCCTTGTTATATCTCGCCTTGACTATTGTAAGTCCCTCCTCACTGGCCTACCTAATCGCAGGCTATCCCCTCTTCAGTCTATCATGAATGCTGCTGCCAGACTCATCCACCTTACTAAGCGTTCTGTATCTCCCACCCCTCTCTACCAATCCATCCACTGGCTTCCCATTGCCCAACGGATCACCAATCTTGTCTCTAAATATTACCCAAACCGTACTCTCCGCTCCTCGCAAGACCTCCTACTCTCTAGCTCCTTTGTCTCCTCCTCCCATGCTCATCTCCAGGACTTCTCCAGAGCTTTCCCCATCCTCTGGAACTCTCTACCCCAATTTATCAGACTATCGCCTACTCTGCTCACTTTTAGGCGATCTCTGAAAACCTCTCTCAGGGAAGCCTATCCTGCCCTCAGCTAATAATGGAATCTTCTACTCTTCCAACCAGTCCATCCCCCACAGTTACTACCTTTTGTACCACTAGCCCCTCCCTCCTAGATTGTAAGCTCCAAGGTGCAGGGCCCTCCTATCCCTCTTGTATTGAACTGTATTGTTGCTGTATTGTCTCCCGTTATATTGTAAAGTGATGAGCAAACTGTTGGCGCTATATAAATCCTGTATAATATTAATAACAATAATAATATTAATGACACACCCCAGTAACTCAATCCAAAGTTTCAATCGGGCAAAGCCAGCCAAAAAGCATTCTGCTGCTCCTGTGCCACCCCTTTTGCTAACCCATAGTACTCTGGGAATTCTTTCACATGTATAAAATGTTTTTTTTTGTAAAAACATACTAAAAATTACAAAATATATAAAAGACTAGCTGAAAAAACACAGATACGAAAAAATACATATAAAAAAACTGAACCAAAACCAATATAGTCTCCCCTTCCCAAAGCTAACCTTTACACAATCTTGACACTTTGGATTTCTTCCAGAAAGCTGTGTATGTATCTACAGCAAAAAGAAGAAATGTTTGAAGGATGATTTGTCACGGGCTGAGGGAAATAAAGCTGTTCTGCAATGTTTTCATTCTATGTGGATCAATGCATGCTTGGGGCACACCAATCAATCCCTGGGTGAGTTACAGTGCTTGTCCAAAGCAAGGCAGGGGGACTCCACTGTGCCTCTCAGTTTAATCTCAGCCACAGATCTGGAAACCTCAACTACCTAAAGAAAGCGATAAGAGCAGAAATATCCTACTCAATTAACAGAGTGTTCTATACAGTCAAGGACCTTTGTAGAAAGGCAATACAAAGAAAAAATGTAAAACAGAGTAACTATTTGCAATCAGCTAGGTTTGGAGCAGAGGTCCTTAAAGTATTAATTTAGCTATTGAGAGCAAAACCCCTGCGCTAAAACTGCCAAAAGAAACCATCAAAATAAAAAATTACGAAAGTTAACAGTTGCACTCACCACTACGCACACACAGAATAATACAAAGCATAAAACAACATAAAAAGTGCTGCGCTGCCAAACTAATATATATAAAAAAAAATTATGTATCAATTCATAAACATATAAATCAATATGTGAATACATTTTAAATACATAAATGCAAAAACATTTGTGAAATATTAAATACATAAATTAAAACCAAAAAATTCATAAGAAAGTCTAGTGAAAATAAAGTGCATCAATAAAGCCTCTACATTAGAGAAAAAGTGCCCCCCGTCTCTACAGAAGAGAAAAAAATGCATCAAAATAAAAGGAAAAGCAATCTGAATTCATATACATAGATTCCTCTTCAAATCACTGCTGAGCACCAAAACGTGACACCAAGGCAGCTTACCAGAACCTTAGACCTCAGAGAGTAGGAGGTCTAACAGCATTTTGTAAGGGAGAGATCATAACAATGGATGAATGAAGTTGTGTATTTAGGGTTCGTGCTGCCCTAGGCAACACAAAAATTGCCCCCCCCCCCCACAGACAGACCCTGACACTGACAAACACACCCCCCTCCCCCACGAAAAGAGCCTGACATTGACCAACAACACCCCACCCGAGAGAGCCTTCCACTACCACTGCCCCCCAAACACTGGCATCCCCCCCACCCCACCCTGGCAAGAGAGAAGACACTCACCATCACAGCTCCGGACATCCCTGGGAACAAGAGTCAGGCTCTTCATACACCATCAAGCAGCCCCTCTCAGATCCCACCTAGTTCCCATGCTGTGTGTGTCCTTTCTTCCATCCCTTCTTTCGGGGGGCGGTGCTGCCCCCCAGAAAAATGCAGCTGCCCCCCTGAAAAATGCTGCTGCCCCCCTGAAAAAATGCCACCCTAGGCAAATGCCTTGTTTGCCTTGTGGCCCCAGGATGGATGGATAGGTGATACACCTCCAACCCTGCAGCCTGCCATCTAGATGGATGGATGAATGTATATAAGCCTCCACTTCCACAGTCGCCCAGATGGATGGATGTAATCAACCACTCTCACAGCCTGCCCCAGACCACTACTCCGCAAGGGATCACGTCAGGGCAATCCACCGCTCAAATGTAGGTAACACATAAAAGAGGAAGGGAAACTGCTCATGGTGTAGTGCTAACAACTAATTTATTAACAACTAGGCATCTACTCACATATACGTAAAGTACAACAGTAGTATATCCAAAACACAACATCCAGCATCCCGGCAGGCGTGATGATGTCCTTGCCGTAACTTCATCCTATGGGTTTTGTCAGAATGGATGTCGTAATGCTGTGGATGCTGTGTTTCGGATGTGCTGTTATTGAAAAACAACAGACTTTCTGGCTGGATCACCATGTGAAAAAAAAAGAAAAGAAAGCCTAAAAAAGAAAATCTATGCCGCCATCACATTTGGTAAGCTGCAATATAATAAATGTTTGCTTTTGGGTTTAATACTTCTTTAAGCTTTTGCACTCCCAGTAGAAGAAAAGGGTTGTGACATGTAAGGTGGGAGGGGGCTGTTCTACAGAATTGACTCTTCCTTTAGTAGTCAAATTTGCTAGCAAGTTCAAAGGCACGTTGCAAGTGACTACAAACCAGGGGCGGACTGACAACTCATGGGGTCCCCAGGAAATAGGGGATAATGGGGCCCCTGTGTCCTTGCCCAAACTCAAAAAAGCCTATGAAAAAGGTACCACCAGGGGCATCTCATGGGGCCCCCTGCTGACCCCGGGCCCTCGGGCAGTGCACGAGTTTCCAAATGGTCAGTCCGCCCCTGGTACAAACTTATCTTTGAAAGGAAAAACAATGCAAGTAAGCATTTAAAATGTTTATGTTGCCAATGTTCCCAAACTCATCCACACTGTTCTCTATCTTGATCATGCGAAAGACTTGGGCTCATGAGAAGACTAGGATGGGGGGGCCATGAGGGGTGGGGTGTGGGGGTCTCCATAAGAAGGTTTGTTTTCTTCCCTTCACTGTACTGACATAGTGGAGGTGGCAATGAAATGGTTTAGAAAGCCCAGCATTCAATTGACATGGCTACATTGTTACTGATTGGATATTATACTGTAGCTTCCCCGCAGCAGTCAAAGCGATCTGCAGGAGGGTGCCGTCACTGCAAATGTTTACCGTTTATAAATGTCCTCCCAACACTTGGCATTTGACTGGAGAACATTAGTATTCAGATGGTGGGTGGTAAGTGGTTAAACATTTACGCTGATCATACACTAGTAGAATTTCCTTCAAAAAAATGATTTTAAGAACATTCATTTGATACTCAAATCATTAGTGGGGGTCATATCAACATTTTTTTTTACAAAAAACGTAAAGAAGGATGGAAATTTTATCTTCAATGAACATATTTCTAACAGTGTATGTTATTATTATTATTATTATACAGGATTTATATAGCGCCAACAGTTTGCTCAGCGCTTTACTATATAACGGGAGACAATACAGCAACAATACAGTTCAATACAAGAGGGATAGGAGGGCCTGATCCTTGGAGCTTACAATCTAGGAATGTGGTTTTTGTTTGGGAAAGTCCATTCATTACAAAAACAAATGTTACAAGCAAACACAATTTTGAACTGCTTTCAAATGTGTTGAGAAGTTTTGTACAAACCTTTGCTGCCCATGTGCGGTGGCAAATAAGTGGGCTTTAATGACCACAAGCCACATATGGTTCACTGGTGGCTGATGTTTCCATGTTAAGAGTGCGCTCACTGCGTGCTCCCAGCACAGACACCAAGTTGTCAAAGACAGCTCTCGATCTCCACTAAAGATCGGTAGATGACGGGACAGCTCCTGATCCTGTAACTACTGTGACAACCAATCACAATGGTCAAGTGATTGTCAATCCTTCCTGCCCCCTGGGCATTCAGAACATTTTAACACACATTTTAACATATCGCGGCTCTGTGAGTGGCTCGTTTTGAAAGGACATCATATGCTATAGGCCGGGCGGGAGACACTCGCCATTGTGATTGGGTGTCATATGACATCCTGTCAAAATGAGCCGCTTCCACGGCCACGGGGCCACGTGTCTGTGCATTCTGTCACCTGCTGTGTCCACGGGACACAGCCGATCACATATCACTACACCGGCCCGTTGCCAGTGTCATGTGACCAATCACAGCAGATCCCATATCAATTGTATACAATGGATGGCTTCCTGTCATGCCATTCATTGTATACAATTGTGTTGTTAGCTGTGCTTGGTCAAGGCAGTCACATGATACAGACAGGGCCAATCACAGCCAATCTGTATCATGTGATCAGATTTGCCCAATCACAGCTAGACTAAAGACTGAATGAATCAGTTTCATTCAGTAACAATGATTGCAATTATCAATGAAATACATTGGTATTAGTAATCATAATGTGTAAAAAAAAAAAAAATACTGATCACTTGCCCAGAATAGCTCAATGTTACTATGGTAGCATTGTATTGCTTTGGTCGCAGTGTGCTGAAAAATAAAATAGTAAAAAAAAGAAAAAGTGTAATAAAAAATAAAATAGAAACATTTGAAAAAAAAATTCAAATTCAATTATTATTATTATTATCACCAAAGAAATGTAGCAGAATACATTTTGACCTAAATTTATGAAGAAATGTTATTTATTTGCAGAAAAGTGCAAAAAGTTTCAGGTGTTTTTTGTTTAATTTGCAAAAAAAAAAAACCTCAGTGGTGATTAAATACTACCAAAAGAAAGCACATACAGTGTTGCATGACCACGCAATTGTCATTCAAAGTGCGACAGCACTGAAAGCTGAAAATTGGCCTGGGCAGGAAGGGGGTATAAGTGCCCGGTATTGAAGTAGTTAAAGGGATGCCGGAGCAGGGGGTTAAAAAAGGTGAATACACAATACACAAGCTAGATATAACTGTAACAGGCAGGGGCGGACTGACCATTTGGAAACTCGTGCACTGCCCGAGGGCCCGGGGTCAGCAGGGGGCCCCATGAGATGCCCCTGGTACCTTTTTCATAGGCTTTTTTGAGTTTGGGCAAGGACACAGGGGCCCCATTATCCCCTATTTCCCGGGGGCCCCATGAGTTGTCAGTCCGCCCCTGGTTTGTAGTCACTTGCAACGTGCCTTTAAACTTGCTAGCAAATTTGACTACTACAGGAAGAGTCAATTCTGTAGAACAGCCCCCTCCCACCTTACATGTCACAACCCTTTTCTTCTACTGGGGATATGTGGGTGTTGCTCTAACTGTAGTGGGAACCTCCTTTTCTCGGTGGACACGGAGCTGTGCAATATCTAGAAGGAATACTCCCCATGTGGGGTTAAAACAAGAGAGTGCTCATAGTGTAGTAAGGCTTGTAAAACCGAGCATTTATTGAGAAAAAATAGGATGCATCCAGCGTGTAACATCAAACAGCGGGTAACAGTAGTGAACACTAACCGTCCCTGAAATGAAATGGCCGCTGGAGCTCCACGATGCTCCGACGACGTGACGTCAACGGCGCTAGCAGGCTCCTCCTTACGCATTACATGCCACGCACATCATCAGAGGGTGAAGCCGGTTTATCATTAGCATGACTAGTAAGTTGTAGATATGTAATATTTAATCTTTACAGCCATACATATATAATCATAATGACCAGAAAAGTAAAGCCGACAGGGACAATTGTAATGACTGACCATTTGGAAACTCGGGCACTGCCTGAGGGCCCGGGGTCAATAGGGGGCCCCATGATATGCCCCTGGTACCTTTTTCATAGGCTTTTTTGAGTTTGGGCAAGGACACAGGGGCCCCATGATCCCCTATTGCCCGGGGCCCCATGAGTTGTCAGTCCGTCCCTGGTAACAGGCAAAAAAAAATGGCACCTGTCTGCACACTGCCACGGCATATAGTGAGCCCTTTTAAGCAAAATATGGCTTCCACTTAGCTTCTTACCCATTAGAGAACCTCCTCTAACATATTTCACCCAATAGGGGCTTAATCGTAGCAACAAATATAACTGGAATAGCCTAAGTTATAAAGCATAAAGCTATAGTTATAAAGTTATTCCACCTACATTTGCCTCAATGTTTAAGCCCCTGTTGAGTGAAACATGTTCCTGGGGGTTGTCCATGGGTAAGAGACCAAGCTGAAGCCATGTTTGCTAAGAGGAGCTCATTATATGCCAAGGCAGTGTGCGTATAGGCGCCATTTTCTTGTAGTCCTTGATATGTCTGATGCGCCAGTATTCAACCTGCAAACATGTGGTCAATCAGCTGGGATAGCAGACTAAGACATTTGAGTGGTATCAATTGTATGTGGTTTTTAGACTCCTAATTCTAGTTTCACTACATTTCTGGCCTGAAGCAAGCCTGTACGATGGGACTCCAGACTTTTCAGATTTTACTGGCTGCGTGCTTGCTTCAAGTCAGTAACTCTCCACTGGGGGAAGGGGGATCCATGATCAGATGTAGGGACATTACTCAACCTTGAGCGGTCACAGTTCTGAGTACAGGTTACAAACTATGAAAATGAGTCCAGGATTCAATTATTTTTTTCCACCTAATTTGAGTTAGAACGTTGTAAGATGCTAATAATAAACAGACCTGTCATTTCTATCAGACCTGTTAAGCATGGTTCGTTGAGCCAAGCACCCATTATTCACAGGCTCTGCTAATCGCCATGTCCTCTGCACAGCTCTATATTAATTAGCGCCAACAGCGCGCGGCCTCCCAGTATGCCTTGTTCTTTGGATAAACTCTAGCTGGCTCTCATCACGACATGATTAGGTACTTAGATTAACTGCCGCCTCAACAGCACATCAAGATTCAGATTCTGAAATGTGTTTGGCAGTGTGCACTTCTAATTTTTACAAGTAAATTGGTAGAATATATCATTTATTACTGCTCATCCAGCTTTTGCAGCAAAATGTAAAACTTGTGGGTTCAGCAATCCTGTTGTGCAATACAGTAATATACAGTAATAAGAGTGAAAGATGAGATGTGGAGAATAGGATGAACTGAGCGTAGGGGCTTAATATTAATTGTGCTAGAATTCCTACGATGGGATGGGATACAGACGAGTGCTTGCAACAGGGAACCAGAAACAAATGTCCTGTGGGCCAGTTTTCATTCATTTGTTTATTCATTTAAGTATGATACATTCTAGGGAATATGGTAGTGAACATTATCTGTTTTGAAAAGTTTTTATTGAGTGTTTTCAAAATTAACAGTAAAAAGGTATACAAGATATAGACAGTAATGCACATTTCAAAGTTTAGGGTCCAGTCACTGGTCCACACCTGCTCTTTATATAATCCATATTATCACCAAAGATCTTCAATAATTATCCACGAGCATCCTTAGGGAGAATGAAACCCTTGAGGCATATGGTATATGGGTGGGATAATGGAGGCAAAGGGATTGATTTACTAAAGCCAATTTGTAAGCTAAGGGTTTTTAGAAGCTAAATGCATCAAATAAGTGTAAAATTGGCAAGGTCTACTTTAAGATTTGAATTATGAGGTGGGGTGTGTGCGTCCAAGCTCCTGGGTAGAAATAGGAAAGCAGTAAGGAGAAGGAACAGGAACAAGACAGTAGAAAAAGAGAAGTATTCCTCTGGGTCCAGAGAAATGGAAGGAGGGTGAGAGGGGTGAAGAAGCGTTGTATGGAAAACTGAATGTGGATCCTGGATATGTCATAGCCAAAATTGTTACCATTGGTATAGAAGAGTTTATCCTGCCTGACAGCCAACAATGTATGATCAAAGTTAGCAGAGAACTAGTGGTTTATTCACAGAGTCCAGATCATTTGAATTTGCTAACCATGTCTTGGAGAATAGTGACCAATTTTCAATTAGGTAAAAACCAAATCATTTTTCGTTACATTTGTGTGGAGTTGGAGGACTGCCAAGCTTTAGATCTTGTTCAGCCTTGGTGAACAAGAACTCCACGAGCCAGACTTGGGTGTTTGTGCAAGCTTCTGGTTGTAAATTAAACCAGGCCTCACACATGTATTGAGTAGATTGGGATGTGTTGGGGTGCCATTCAGAATGACCATCCCTTGAAGCATGTCTTTAGTCTCATCTCCTACTACATGACTGCAGTCTCTTTCCATCTCCTGCATCATACCCACAATCTCTGAATATCTCATGTAGCATGCCTGCAGTCTCCGATCTTTTCCTATAGTATGCCTAAAGTCTCTGATTTTTTCATGCAGCATGACTACAGCCTCTGAACATCTCCTAGAGCATGCCTACAGTCTCTGAACATCTCCTAGAGCATGCCTACAGTCTCTGAACATCTCCTAGAACATGTCTACAGTCTCTGAACATCTAGAGCATGCCTACAGCCTCTGAACATCTCCTAGAGTATGCCTACAGTCTCTGGACATCTCCTAGAACATGTCTACAGTCTCTGAACATCTCATTTAGCATGCCTACAGTCTCTGAACATCTCATGTAGCATGCCTACAGTCTCTGAACATCCCCTAGAGCATGCATACTGTCTCTGAACATTTCATGTAGCATGCCCTCAGTCTCTGATCACCTCATGGTGCATGCCTGCAGTCTCTGGACATCTCAGGTAGCATGTCTACAGTCTCTCAACATCTCATGTAGAATGCTTACAGTCTCTGGTCATCTTTAGAGTCTAATGTATGCTCGGTTCTATAAACCACCTCTATTTCCTGCATATTCTCAGAGCTGCATGGCAATACTGGCTACCTAAGCAGAAATTAGCGCATATAATTGATGTACATTTTTGGACTGTTGTAATTAAGGCATTCAGGAATACCATAGAAATGGAAAAGGTCCCAGAGGTAGACAGGAAGATAATAAGAAACATTAGTGGTATAGGCTCATGTAATGATTATTCTTAGCTATTATCAGCATGTCATTGTGCTTCCCAGAAGGGTTCTGGAAACAAAGCTATATTTAACAGCGAATTACCACTGCCTACGTCCTAACTAGCCATATATACATATATAGCTGAGGGAAAATGTTTATTGACTCTGAAAGCATATCTGCCATGCAGGGTGAAGCAATAGTTTAGTTCACTGCCCCACATTCCCATCAGTACATAACTTTCTTTTCTTTTTACTCCCAAACTCCGCTGCCAAAAACAAAGAATATACGAGTCTGTCCGGAAAGGATCCAGCTATATAATATGAAAAATAGAGATATTTATTGAAGGAGATATAAGATACCAGAAACATTGTGCATAGGAAAATGACTCCTCAGTCCCCTTCAAAGTAGGCACCTTGGGACCCAATGTTTCTTCCACTGTTCAAAACACTGCAAAATTCTTTGTTGGAATCACCATCAGCTTCTAGTTCTTGCATTGTCTGTTGCGATCTTTGCCTTC